AAGTAATAAAGACTAGAATGAAAATGAATTAAATAGAGAATAGAAAAACAATACAGAAAAGCTAAGGAACAGTTATTTGAAAAGATCAACAAAATTAACAAATCTTTAGTTAGATTGGGGGGAAAAAGGAGAAAACTACTGAAATTAGAAATACAAGAGAGTTATTTTGATAGGGATTGCATTGAATATGTAGATTGTTTGGGGGTAGTATAGACATTTTAACAATATTTGTTCTTCCAGTCCATGAGCATGGAATGTTTTTCCTTTTTTTGTGTGTCCTCTTCAACTTCTTTCATAAGTGTTCTATAGTTCTCAGAGTACAGCTCTTTTATCTCTTCAGTTAGGTTTATTCCTAGGTATCTTATGGGTTTTGGTGCAATTGTAAATGGGATCAATTCCTTGATTTCTCTTTCTGCTGCTTCATTATTAGTGTATAGAAATGCAACAGACTTCTGTGCCTTGATTTTATATGCTGTGACTTTGCTGAATTCCTGCATTTTTCACAGAGCTAGAACAAACAATTCTAAAATTTGTATGGAACCAGAAAAGACCCCAAATAGCCAAAGTAATGTTGAAAAAGAAAAACAAAGTGGGGAGCATCACAATTCCAGATTTACAGCCATATTACAAAGCTGTAATCATCAAGACAGTATGGTACTGGCACAAAAACAGACACATAGATCAATGGAACAGAATAGAGAACTCAGAAATGGACCCACAACTGTATGGTCAACTAATCTTCAACAAAGCAGGAAAGAATATCCAACAGGAAAAAGGTAGTCTCTTCAACAAATGGTGTTGGAAAAACTGGACAGCCACATGCAGAAGAGTGAAACTAGACCACTTTCTAACACCATACACAAAAATAAATTCAAAATGGATGAAAGACCTAAATGTGAGACAGGAAACCATCAAAATCCTACAGGAGAAAACAGGCAGCAACCTCTTGGACATCAACCAACTTCTTACTAGATATGTCTCCTGAGGCAAGGGAAACAAAAGCAAAAATAAACTATTGGGACTTCATCAAAATAAAAAGCTTCTGCACAGCAAAGGAAACAATCAACAAAACTAAAAGGCAACCTTCAGAATGGGAGAAGATATTGCCAAATGACATATCTGATGAAGGGTTAGTATACAAAATCCATAAAGAACTTATCAAACTCAACACCCAAAAGATAAATAATCCAGTTAAAAAATGGGCAGAAGATATGAGTAGACATTTTATCTATAAGAAGATATACAGATGGCTAACAGACACATGAAAAGATGCTCAGTATCACTCATCATCAGGGAAATGCAAATCAAAACCACAATGAGATACCACCTCACACCTGTCAGAATGGCTAAAATCAACAACACAAAAAATAACAGGTGTTGGCAAGGATTCAGAGAAAGGGAAGACCTCATGCCCTGTTGGTGGGAATGCAAACTGGTGCAGCCACTGTGGATATCAATATGGAGGTTCCTCAAAAAGTTAAAAATAGAGCTACCCTATGGCCCAGCAACTGCACTACTAGGTATTTACCTAAAGAATACAAAAATACTAATTCAAAGGGATACATGCACCCTGATGTTTATAGCAGCATTATTTACAATAGCCAAACTATGGAGACAGCCCAAATGTCCATCTGATGGATGGAGAGAGAAGATGTGGTATATACACAATGGAATATTACTCAGCCATAAAAAAGAATGAAATCTTGCTATTTGCAATGACATGGGTAGAGCTAGAGAGTATTATGCTAAGTGAAATAAGTCAGTCAGAGGGGCTCTCCTACCCCCTCTGGGCTGGGGAGCTATGACGAGTCACAGGCTTCCTCTGGCTCGACTCACCACTTCTTAGTAATCGCTTCACAATAATCACTTCTGAGATTTTACCCAGGAAGAGAGACTGAAAATCTTTCATTATCCCTTTTTTTTTTTTGCCTGTGTTTTCTCCAGTTTTATTAAGATTAATTGACAATTGCAATTGCATATATTTAAGGCATACAACTTGATGTTTCTTTTTTTTAATTTTTCCCATTTATTTAAATTTATTAATTAACATATAGTGTATTATTAGTTTCAAAGGTAGAGTTCAGTGATTCATCTGTCTTATGTAACACCCAGTGCTCATTACATCCCGTGCTCTCTTTAATGCCCATCACTCAGTTACTCCCCAAGGTTGCCCCTCCAGCAACCTTGTTTGTTTCTTACGATTAAAAGTCTCTTACGGTTTGTCTCCCTCTCTGCTTTCATCTTGTTTTATATGTATATATTGTTAAATAATATAAAACAAGCTAATTAACATATTTATCACTTAAAATAGTTATCTTCTTTTTAGTAATGAAAACATTTAAGATAACCCTCTTAGCAAATTTCAAGCATACAATATAGCACTTTAACTACAGTCACAGTTTTATACATGAGATCCCCAGAAATTACTCCTTTTATATAAATGAAACTTTGTACCCCTTGATCAACATTTCCCCATGCCTTGGCAACCACCATTCTGCTCTCTGCTTCTATGAGTTTGACTATTTTAGAATTTACATATAAATGAGATCATATAGCATTTGTCTTTTTCTGCATCTGGCTTATTTCACTTAGCTCTCATTTTCCGCCACAGGAGGGTTTATGGGACCTTCTGCCAGTGTGCTGATGTCACTCCTGAAGTCTCATTTGTACTCTCAGTAACCTTAATCTCTTCGATCATATTTGTTATAACATTTCCTAAAGATATAATTGATATATAACATTGTGCAAAGGTATATATAAGGTGTAAAACATGTTGTTTGATACATTTATATATTGCAACATGACACACTATAGCATTAGCTTAACAGCTCCATGTCCCATAATTACTATTTCTTTTCTGCACTAACATTTAAGGTCTAGTGTCTTAGCAACTTTGAAGTATATAACACAATATTAACTATAATCACAATGCAGTGCATAATCCCCAGAACTTTTTCATCTTCTAGATGCAAATTTGTACCCTTTAACATCTTACCAATTCCGCCACCTTCTAGCTCCATCATTAAACTTTGTTTCTCTGAATTCAGCTTTTTCAGATTCCAAATATAGGTCATTTCTTCTAGGTTTTTCAGTTTTTTGGAATACAGATGTTTGCAGTAGTCTCTTATGATACTACATATTTATTTGTTATCAATTTTAATGTCTTTCATTTCTGAGTTTATTTGGGTCTTTGTTAAAAGATTTTATTTATTTTGGGGTTTTTTTGTTTTGGGGCTTTTTTCCCTCCATTTTTATTTTTTTTCTTATGTTCAATTAGCCAACATATAGTACATCCTTAGTTTTCGATGTGGTGTTCAATGATTCATTAGTTGCATATAACACCCAGTGCTCATCACCACATGTGTCCTCCTTAATGCCCATCACCCGGCTACCCCATCTGCCCACCCACCTCCCGTCTGTAACCCTCAGTTTGGTTCCCAGAGTCCAAAGTCTCTCATGGTTTGTCTCCCTCTCTGATTTCTTCCCATTCAGTTTTCCCTCCCTTCCCCTGTGGTCCTCTGTGCTATTCCTTATATTCCACATATGAGTGAAATCATATGATAATTGTCTTTCTCTGCTTAACTTATTTCGCTTAGCATAATCCCCTTCAGTTCCATCCATATCGATGCAAATGGTGGGTATTCATCCTTTCTGATGGCTAAGTAATATTCCATTGTATATATGAACCACATCTTTCATTTTCTCTATTACACTTATCCTAGGAGACTGAATATACAAGGAGACAATGGCAAGACCATATATAAAAATAGGACTCTGACTCACAGCCTGCAGCAGCCTTTCCAGGAATCCAAACCCTTGTTTACAATAAACATTTATCCCAAAAGTCAGCCTGTTTTAAAAGTCAGAGTTATAGAAAATCAGACTACTATCTTTAGTAACATTCAGGAATCAGGACAATGACTTCTGTAACAATCTACCCAGAATGGCCAGGACGTGATGAATAACTGACAGCTTCCCTAATTTTTCTCCCTGCTTCCAACTTATAACCAAAGAGAGAAAGCCAGATACGCTCCCTTAACCAGTCATGTAGGAGACCCTGCCTCTAGTTAGCCACCTCCAGGCTCACCATGCCAACAGCTTCCAGGCAGGTCACACCCGAAGCCATCCCTCTTCTCCACTATGAAGCGTTCCCTCCTCCTCTGTCTGCCTTTGAGTCTCTGCTAAAACTCAAGTGACCACGGCTGACTCCCTTGCTCTAGCAAGCTTTGAATACATAGCCTCTGCTTTTCTCATTTGTTTGGTGTTCATTTATTTCCACAATCCTGAACGCAAGCATGAGGTTTCTGGAGCAGAGTAGATTAACTATTATTTACTTACAAGCAAACAATAACCACGTGGTTCCCCTGAAAGCTTAAAATTAAAATGCATCTCAATCATGACCAAAACCATGTCCTTAGATTGGATGCCTCCTCAGGATCCCCAGGGGAAATGGTTAAAAATTTATACTCAGGGTTTCTAATAGGGTGGATCCCAGAAGGGTGGGAGGATAAATGAGCACTTTTTTTTAGCCACCTGCCCAGGTGAGACCAACATGCAGCCTCAGCCAATGGAGAACATGGAGCTGCTTTTTCATCTCCTACAGATGAGAAGCCTTGAATGGATTTTTTTTAACCAAAGGGTGAGACCCACAACAGAGATGCAGAGGGAAAAACAGAATATGTGCGTGTGTATTTGTTTAATTATTCAGTTTGCAGTGTTCTCAATAGATTGAAGCTGGAATTGGCTCTACTTTGCCGCCTCAGACACACATATACACACACACTTGTCTTCTCTCCAGGAGCTGGTATGAGTGAGAGATATTTGTAACAGGATATCCCAGGCCCTGCTTTAGAAGAGACAATTCAGGATATGAGTGGCATTGCTCACCAAAAGGAAACTCAGAGAAACCCCTCACAGACCTGGATCCTGGCCCTTAGGAGCTCCACAAGACTGAGGAATAAGGAATAAACCCAAACTAACTCTTCTCTGCCTCTCCCCAGGCTCTCAACGGCTTCCTCATGGCTGTTACAGAGGATGGCTATGTTTTCTACGTCTCTCCCACAGTCCAGGACTACCTAGGATTTCATCAAGTGAGTGGTTGTACTTTTCATTTGAAGAGTTTGGGTGAATCTAGTTGGGAGAGGAGGGAGACAGGGCCATGTGACGCTTGTCTCCATGGGACTATAATGGAATTTCAAAGATCTGGGTCTCCATCTCAGTCTCCCACATGCACATCCTAAGTCTTCAACTGAGCCTTCCCAGAGTACTGACTTCCTCATCTGGTGGAGGGCATGGTAGCCTAGATCCTCTGAGGAGCAGATGCCAAGGCAGGATGAGATGAGCAAGAGATTCCTCAGGAGAAAATCCTGGGAGGACCTGGAAGGGAACAGGGGTTGGGGGCAGCAGGTCTGACCCTTGGGCAGGAGACAGAAAGAATGGGGGTGGGTGGAAGTGTCTTCAACTGCAGTACAGGATCAATGGGGCATCTTCAATCCAAAGTCACCCAGCAGAATGGGGCATCCTCAATCCAAAGTCACCCAGCAAAATGGGGCATCCTCAATTCAAAGTCACCTGGCAGAATGGGGCATCCTCAATCCAAAGTCACCTGGCAGAAAAGCCCCTCTGCTCCCAGGAATAGGCCTGCCTTGGTGTCCCTGCCATGCTCAGTCACTGGCTGGGAGCAATCTGTAGGAAGAGTGGCCCCAGCACAAACAAGTGTGCATCCAAGAGGGGCAACCTCACATGCACCTCAGTCAGAAACCTGAGAGGCACATACTGACTTCTTGTGCTGCACCAATCTACTCCTCCACAGGAGGAATTCCCATGAGCCTCTCTCCCTGGGGGGACCTCAAAAGAGAGAGGTGAGTGGGACAAACTGCAGCTGGTCTCAGGGTAGCACCTGGCCCTCCTCTGCTCTCCATTCTGAATTCTGCTCACCCTCAGCCATCACCCCAGCACATCTCTGAGTCCAGGGACCCAGCACCATCATGGTCCTCACGTCAGGATGAAGGCCCATTGGGGCCAGATAATACATGAAGTGCCAGCTCTAGTCTGGTTCACAGCAAACTTACCAAGTCCAGGACCCACCCAGTGGTCATTTGTCCATTTCCTGAGCATGTAATTGGAATCAATCTAGTTGACAACTGGAGTAACCCCCAGACTAGGTTCTTGGCCCATAAAGTGAGAGATATCACAGTAGAAAAGTCCAAGAGGAAACCCTTGAAACTACCCCCTCCAACACCAGTCAAGATAGTAAATCACAGGCAATATCATATCCCAGGGAGGTCGTGGAAAGTAGTGCTGTTGGGTAGAAGGCATGGTCAGTATCTTGAGTATCTTGAGTAAATACCTTGCCATGGTATTGTAGGGCCCTTCTACCTAGGGACCATGCCACCTCTTCAGTCAGTGGATTTCAGATCTGAAATTTGTCTCAGGTCCAGAAACTGAGCAAAGGATTGTCATTTTTCACCGAGATAACAGCCCTCAGCCTCCTGACTTTGCACTGTTGCCTTTAATTGTAGATGTTAAGCAGTATCATTGTTGGCTGCCCATCTCTTTTGCCCCTTGAGATGCCATGCTCTATTAACCAACTCCACAACACCTTATGGTCCAAGCCCCCTTGATTATTTCTTCTGCCTTGCTAGCCATCACTGTAATTGAAGCCATCTGGCCTCTCCTACCTCAGGGCTCCATCATCCCAATGGACATTCATGAGCCCAGCTCTTCTGAGCCCAGCCCAGTGTCTTCCTCTCCTTCCATCAGCCCTGACCTGCAATAGGACAGTCACCTACCACCAAATTTCTTAGTGGTGTTGATGTCCCTCCAATATTGCACTCCTCATGGCCTTGGTGTATAGTTTGTCCCTGGGCCCTCCCATGGTATGCAATCTCTGCTGGGTCTTCTTGACTAATGAATTGCATTAGTTCCAATACACCCATTTCCCTCAGCCTTTTTGTTCCTTCTTCTGCCATCTGCCAGAACAATTCAGGTATTACCACCTCACTGACCACTGGCTTCTCCCAGCATCTAAACCTAAGAGCCATCCCAGCAGTTGGTTTGTCCCATTTCCTGAGGTTCCTGCCAGGGTGTAAAGTTGTGTGTCCTGAAAGTTCTGATCTGACCCTAGGGAAGGAGAATTACCCCACCATATGGCTCTGAGGAAATTGGACAAGGCCAAAGGGGAGCCCTCAAGGCCAAGTTGCCCACCAGAGAAGTCCCGTCTCCCAGGAGCAGGCCTGCCTTAGAGTTGCCGCCCCAGTGGATTTCAGTGGGCAGCAGCTGGGACACCTCTGAGTTACACTCCCTGCAGCTGGAGACCTGAGGGGCATTTTCCTGGCCTGCTGCTGAGGGAAGACAGCCCATGCTCCACAAAACTGCTGTGCAGACTGAAAACAGCAGAGCTTGTGCAAGTGCATTGCACACCACGTAGTGGAAGGGGCTCATACAAAGCCATGGCAACAGAAGGTTTTCTGAAATCGGGGCGATAGGACTCAAAACTCCTTGGTTCCTCCCTCTAGTCTACCTTTTATTCTTCTGCAGCACCTAAGTCTGGACCAATCAATTTTCATGTTCCCATGCCAACCCTACACCTGGGCAGTGCAGCTCATACCCAACACCACCTCTGGACTTTATCCCTCACTTGTGATGAGCATACACTTGCTGAGTTTTACAGCCTTTTCCCCTTTATTTTGTTTAAATATTTTATGTATTTACTTATTTGGGAGAAAGAGACAGAAACAGAGATAGCAAGAGAGAGCACGAGCGGGGAAGGGAGGAAGCAGCACTTCCCACTGAGCAGGGAGCCCGATGCGGGGCTCGAACCCAGGACCCCGAGATCATGACCTGAGCTGAAGGCAGACACTCAACCGACTGAGCCACCCAGGCGCCCCTTCACCTTTCCTTTAGGAAAAAAAAGTCAGTACCATTATGCTGTATCTGGTTTTTAGATGAGAATCTGAGAAGGAGTTTTATTTGTCAAAGGCAGACCGGAGGCCTGCGCACTCGTCATACCCGCACTGGCAGCATCGAGCTACCTGCTTCCTTGCCGTTGCTGAGGAGAAACATAATGTAGGGGAGGGTTCAGAGACAGAAACCCCTATAAAGAGGAGCTTCCAAAAGAAAAAATAAACTTGGCTAAAGCCCTTCATCTCAGAGAAATGCTGTGGGTTTTTCTGTGTGACGTGGTTAGAAGAGGAGGTGCTGCCCGGCTGCAATGCCTTTCCCCTTCAGAAACGCCAGGGGCAGTGAGCAGAGCTGCAGGCAGAATGACAGCAACATGGGTGAACAGGAGAGAGGTCAAGGTCACAGCCTGGGGCCTCTGCCTGTGTGCACAGCTCTCCCATTCCACTACTGCGTGCGGCTGTTTTTATAGAGCGACCAGGTGGAGGCAGAGAGCGCCAGCATATTGGGTGCTGAGCTCCACTAGAGCCCTGTTGCTTTCCTCCACGGGGTCTGTTCTGTGTTGCCCTGGTGGTCCCCCAGAAGCCTGCCTCCCTTGGCCTCAGCTCCCATGCTGCCATCCCTGTGATTTCTCCTCAGGTCTTCATGCCACTGGCCCTTCCCCTCCTTCCAGCCTGGAGGCTCACTCAACATCTTTGTCCTTTCATAGATTAGACCAGACCCTTATAATTTATTTAGCACTTGCCATGTACTGAGATGGAGATGCTCCTGAAAAGTTCATTTTCCCTGAATTTTGTGCAGAAAATGGTTATGTACAAGAGGTTCCTAAAAATCATGTTGTGTGTGGGTTGGGGGATGCAGGGGAAGAGTGGGGAAGAATATAACTTATTTGGAGTAGAATTTAGGCCATCAGAACTTTTTAATGCTGACAGAAAACTTTCATCTGCACTTAATTCCTCTCAGAAGATCAAGAAGAATCCCAAACTTTACCCAAATAAAACGTAACTTAATAAATGGTTAACTACAGGCAAGGGTAGAGAGACTCATTACACTTTTTAAATTAAACCTGTGTGATTTACAAGGAACACACTAAGATTTCTCAAGGCAAACTGATCTGAAAACTATTTAACATTCTCTTTATGTGTAAAATATTTGCAAAATCTGTATGAGGACAGGATACCTTAATTATTGTTCATGTTCAAGTCACTACATTGCCAAACCCCTTTCTTTTGAGTTTACATTAGCATTTATATTCACTCATCTCCTTCAACAAATGACAGAACAAACTTGGATCTCGCTGGAAATGAGATCTTTGCTCTTATTCAGTCTAATTGTGTTATCCAGAAGAGCTGATGACTGACTTCCCGGGAAACTCAACATTCTCCTTCCACAAAGCTTTCAGCCAACTCTCCAGGGCTATTTCAGTGGCTTCCTATGTGTCTCCCCACCTCGGACACATCCCTGATGATGATTTGTGACTTGTCTGCTAGGCAGTCTTTTTTTCCCTTGGCCCCAAGAACTGCCACCCTTTTCAAGACACAACACGGGCATGGCCTCCAACACCATGGGAGTGCCCATCTCATGGGTATTTTCTGGGTCTGGGGGCAGCAGCAGCCTGAGAAGTTGGCTGTGCAAAACCAGAAGAGGGAAACAGGAACAGTATGCACCAGCCAGCCTCCAGGATGGGGAGGGACAAGGACAGGCGAGTCCAGGATGCCTGGAAGGATCAGAGGTGCTAGAGATGACTCAGGGACATCTGAGGTGAACAGGTCACATGTAGCCTCAGAGAAGCAAGAAGCATCCCCAGGAGGGTGATGTTGTCACTTGGTCTTTGCAGTCAGATGTCATCTATCAGAGTGTGTTTGAGCTGATCCACAAGGAGGACAGAGCCATGTTCCAGAGCCAGTTTCTCTGGCCTGCAGATGCAGCACCTGTCAGCAGAGAGGGTGAGCAGGACATCCACTGTAAGTCACCAAGGCTTGCGGGGGCGGGGGGGGGGGGGGAGGGCTAAATGCAGAATCAACCCTGTACATGTGTTTCAACCCTTATAGTCCATGAGGAAGAAATCAGACCAGGAAGCCAAGCTCTCTCAGCTCCAATGTATATTTCGTTAAGCACTGATGGAGCACTCACTAAGTCCCAGGTGTATGAGGGGAAGAAAAGAGGAAGGGCTGCATCGGGAAATTGGGTAGTGTGTGTTGGCACAGGACTCTGCATCTTTCAGAACCATCTCATATCTGTGACCTAATGTGATCCTCCTAGGAACTGGAAAATACACATAAGGCATGAGCATCTGTTGATTTTACTACCAGTAGGATACAGGGAGGGATTTTTGCCGATCTTGTTCACTGGTGTATTCCCAGTGCCTAGAACAGTACCTGAGACAAAGTAAACATGTAAATGTTCAGATGAGGAGAGTGATGTTTGCCCAGATGGATCCAACTGGTGAGTGATAAGACTCACGCTGGAGGAAATATCCTGCCTGCCCAGGTAAGAGCATCCCCTAACGGCAGACAGGTGCATCCCGAGCGATGATCGAGCTGGTAGGGGACTCATATTTGTGTATCTGGTGAGTATACAAGATATGAGGCCATTATGGCCATAGCGTGTTACTCTGCCAACTGCTGGGATACCATAGGCAAAAGGCAATATTGTCATTTACAAGTAAATGCTATTTTGTAAGTCCAGATACAGGACCCCTTTCCAAGTATTTACAGTACATTTAATGCACCCACACAGGCTGCAAAGAAAGGCTCTTCCCTGTTTTGTTGTGAAGGATGGTTAGAAAAAAATAAAATACTCAAAAAACAGAGGCTTCAATTAGAAAAAAATGAATCCATATGCCAATGTTTGCACACTAATAATGACATGCTTTTGTGATGGATAACTTAAAATACTAAGCAGAATAAACTTACAAGACTTACTATAAGATATGGTTGTGTAACTTCATAAGACGCAGCTTTATTCAGTTCAGCTTTGGCTGCTGTGATTTTAGTCCGTCTCTTTCTGAAGCCTGCTCTCAGTCCAGACATTCCGCCTAAGATTCTGTCTTGACCTGCCATAAGTCCAGCAGGGTAGTTACTTATCCCAAAACAGGTCTTCACTTTTTTTCTTTCCCATAAGATTATCAGCTCACTGAAGGGAGGAACCCTGTTCTCAGCATTGAGCTTTGCACCTCTGTGCCTCCACCCCTGTCCCTGTTGACCAGCTAGGGTCAAAAGAGAAAGGAAAAGAAATTTGAGGTATTGTATGGTGACTAACATAACATAATAAAATTTAAAAAAAAAAAAAAGAAATCTGAAGTTCCGACTTTCATACAGCTCCTGACACTGCCAAGTTTGAATTATGTCCTTCACAATGGATACTCTGGAATTTTGCATATAATTTCATACTTTTAAATACCTTTTACACTGTTATACCCCTGCAATAGCAGAAACCATACAGCAGTGTACCTACATGTTTATAAATATATGCATGACAGTTCTTCAGAATAAAAGTAAAACTTTAATGCCATGCTATAAAAATGCCAGAAAAATGTCTGAAGACCACCCAACTAAACCAAATTCAAGTTGATGTGTTTTATACATGTGTGTATATGTTCTAACATTTATTGAGGGTATATCATGTGCCAGGCACTGTGCTAGGGGTTTTATTAAATGAGATTACAAAAGTAGTAAAACTTATCAGATCATAAGCCTTCCTTTGTTCCTCCCTCTAGCCTGCTTTTTTATTCTTCTGCAGCACTTAAGTCTAGACCAATCAATTTTCATGTGACACAGGGAAAACCATCCGTGTAACTATAATCTGACTTGTCAGGTTGAAAATTACAGCAAAAGAGAACAAATTTGGTTTTTGCATCTTTGACTTTCTAATGAAGCTTCATTGGTACTTCTGTTTTTAACCCAAGAGTTTGGGATTTTTCTCATTATCCTTTGCAAAGACTTCCCTACAAACCTCTAGGACAGGAAAGAGAGCAAACTGAACCAGCACTCCAGAACAGGTGAAAGCAGCATTGTTTTTCATGGATAAACGGGGCAGGAGAGTGCAGGGGGAAGAAAGAGCATGAATGCAAAGCCCCCCAAGCAGAAGTGCACTTAGCATAGATAAGGAATGGCCAGGAGGCCACTGAGAAGGGCACAGGGAAGGGGAAACTGGCCAGCGCCTGGGCAGGAAAGGGTGCGGGAAGGAATCAGTCTTTAAGGGAGGAAGTCACTGAAGAGTTCTAAACACAAAATGGACATGATCTGACTTATATTTTAAAGTCACTCTGGGGGCACCTGGGTGGCTCAGTTATTGGGCGTCTGCCTTCGGTTCAGGTCATGATCCCAGGGTCCTGGAATCAAGCCCCGCATTGGGCTCCCTGCTCTGCGGGAAGCCTGCTTCTCCCTCTGCCTGCCGCTCTCCCTGCTTGTGTTCCTTCTCTCACTGTGTCTCTCTGTCAAATAAAATAAAAATAAAACCTTTAATAAATAAATAAAGTCACTCTGGCTACTGAGTGGAGGACAGACCATAGGAGCAAGGGTGGAAGCAGGGACACCAGTTAGAAGGCTATGGCAAATTCAAAGCAAGGGGGAAAAAATGATGAGAGTAACAGCCAATTTATATAGAGGTTACAATGTGCCAGGCACTATTGCAACTGCTTTACATATATAAATATATTTCTCCTAACAACCTTATTAAGTCAGATCAGATAACTGGGGCCCATGGAGATGTTACATAACTTGTCCAGGGTCCATGCTCTTCTCAACTAGATGTTCCACCCAGCTGATAATGAGAGACTGGCCAGCACAGCAGAGTGAAGTGATGAGAAGTATTTGGCTCCAACAGTAGAACCAATAGGGTTCCTGGATATATATGCTATGTACAGCATCTCATTTTTAATTTGATTCTCATGACACTCTAAGGCATGGAGGCAGGCAGGACTGCTAGCATCATCTGATGAATGAGAAAGCCGGCTGGAGTGGTGGATTAAGGTCATTCTACTGGGCAAGGCTAAGGTTCACTGGGCCACAGGGCTTGTGACCCCACATTCTCTCCACCCACCAGCTTCTTTGGGAACTAGAGATATTTCAGTTCTGTGATGATGAGTGTTCTGGTAGAGCTTCCTCATTTGTCTGTCTTCCCAGCTCTGGCAGGAGAGAAGTTTCTCTCACTTAGTGGCTCCTCCACCGACTGCCTGCAGCATCAGCCCTTGGATGACCCCTCCTATCTGGAAAGAAGTTTTGTTTGTCGCTTCCGCTGCCTGCTGGACAATTCTTCTGGGTTTCTGGTAATCACACTGTCCTTATAGGCTCAGGAACTTCCTATACCAGTGCTCTGCCCAGATGGTACACTGCCCAAGGGTTGAGCCAGGCTTCCTCACCATCCCAGGATGGTGAATCTGGCCTTCAGCTCACTGCCATTTCAGAATACCAAGTTGTCTTTTGAACCTTCCTCTGCCTGGTTAAGATATGGGATTTATTTACTTGGGATTTAGTTACACCTGTTACCTATAGTACATCCTAAGTGGAGATCCCTGGTGAACTCAGGATGTTAACACCCACCTTCTTCACCATCCCCCAAATCAGCTAAAAGTGCCTACCAATTCCTGGAATTGTATACCCTCTCACAGCTCAATGAACTCCGCAGCTCTTTGAAAAAGGCTGTGTGGGTCAGGGACCGAAGGGAGGACTGAGAAGCCATGAAAAATGATCAGGGCCTAATGGGCAGAGCAGAATGAGGAAGCTCCAAACCTGCACACACCTATACTGAGTCCTACCTGTTCAACTACAAGGAGGGTATGGGACCCTCTGAGTTCCATAAGAGGAAAGTCATATCGACTATTTTAGCTACTTAACATCCTCTTCTCTTTTCTCTTCTCATTATGTTTGGGGTCTGCTTTTTCTAGGAGTTGAATTTCCATGGCCATCTGAAGTTCCTCCCTGGACAGAACAATAGGTCAGAAGATGGTATCCTCATGTCTCCTCAACGCACCCTGTTTGCCATTGCAGCACCTCGCCAGCCACTCACCATCCTGGAGCTCCAAGATGAAACATTTCTTTTCCAAACAAAACACAAATTGGATTTCACACCCATAGCCTGTGATTCCAGGTACATCCCTCTGACCAGAAATCATGACTCCTAGGGAACCAAGGGTGCTCCCAGAGTAATTATGGCCCAAATCCTGAGTCTAGAACCAAAGGCAAGGCAAGAACAGTTGGCCAATCCTGTCCAAACAGGTTCTGTAATGAGAGTTAGTAGAAAAGATGCCCCTTATAAGGGCACTGTAGGAGTATGGGGTTTCGGGTATGATGCAGAAAGCAAATCCCAAGTAATACTTGTCTCCCTCTCAGAACCTTCCAGTAACAAAACATAGTGAAGCCCCAAGAAGTCCCACTATGAAAAATCTAACTAACTAGGTTTGACCCAATTGTTCCCAAATTTTATTTGACCATTGAACCTTTCTTGGGGGAATCAGTTAACATGCTACAATGCCAATGCCCCTTAGAACACATTCTAGAAAGCACTGGCTTAAGAACAAGTGCTTCGGGGCACCTGGGTGGCTCAGTGGGTTAAGCGGCTGCCTTCGGCTCAGGTCATGATCCCGGGGTCCTGGGATCGAGCGCCGCATCGGGCTCCCTGCTCTGTGGGGGGTCTGCTTCTCCCACTCCCACTCCCCCTGCTTGTGTTCCCTCTCTCGCTGTCTCTCTCTCTCTCTAATAAATAAAATCTTTAAAAAAATAACAATAAAGGGGCGCCTGGGTGGCTCAGTCGTTAAGCGGCTGCCTTCGGCTCAGGTCATGATCCCAGGGTCCTGGGATCGAGCCCCACATCGGGCTCCCTGCTCAGCAGGAAGCCTGCTTCTCCCTCTCCCACTCCCCCTGCTTGTGTTCCTGCTCTCGCTGTCTCTCTCTCTCTCTCTAATAAATAAAATCTTTAAAAAAATAACAATAAAGGGGCGCCTGGGTGGCTCAGTCGTTAAGCGGCTGCCTTCCACTCAGGTCACGATCCCAGGGTCCTGGGATCGAGCCCCATGTTGGGCTCCCTGCTCAGCCTGCTTCTCCCTCTCCCACTCCCCCTCCTAGTGTTCCCTCTCTAGCTCTCTCTCTCTCTGTCAAATAAATAAATAAATAAATAATCTTAAAAAAAAAGAAAAAGAGGGCGCCTGGGTGGCTCAGATGGTTAAGCGTCTGCCTTCGGCTCGGGTCATGATCCCGGGGTCCTGGGATCGAGCGCCGCATCGGGCTCCCTGCTCTGTGGGGGGTCTGCTTCTCCCACTCCCACTCCCCCTGCTTGTGTTCCCTCTCTCGCTGTCTCTCTCTCTCTCTCTAATAAATAAAATCTTTAAAAAAATAACAATAAAGGGGCGCCTGGGTGGCTCAGTCGTTAAGCGGCTGCCTTCGGCTCGGGTCATGATCCCGGGGTCCTGGGATCGAGCCCCATGTTGGGCTCCCTGCTCAGCCTGCTTCTCCCTCTCTCACTCCCCCTGCTTGTGTTCCCTCTCTCTCTGTGTCTCTCTCTGTCAAATAAGTAAAATCTTTAGGGCGCCTGGGTGGCTCAGTCGTTAAGCGGCTGCCTTCGGCTCGGGTCACGGTCCCCGGGTCCTGGGATCGAGCCCCGCATCGGGCTCCCTGCTCGGCGGGAGGCCTGCTTCTCCCTCCCCCGCTGCCTGCCTCTCTGCGTACTTGTTCTCTCTCTCTCTCTCTCTCTGTCAGATAAATAAATAAAATCTTTAAAGAAGAACAAGCGCTTCAACGCACTGTTAGTACTGGAACTTACCAGTTCTGTTTCTTCCTCAAAGATGCTTTGATGAAGGCGGTGGAATCTGTCCTCCACAAAGTTAACGTGGGCACCGGCCCCCGGCCCACAGCACAGGTTTAAAGCAGGATTTGGGAACGGGTGTGCGGTAGAAGCGTCTGACAGGGCGCCAACCCCGCTCAGGGCCGACGCCTCTTCGGGGTCTGCTCCAGCCCCGCGGCGAGGAGAGGCGCCCCCTCCGGACCCGGGCCGCCCAGAGAAGACCGCTCCCCGCGCCCGGGCGCCAAGCCGGGCGGCCGGCCAAGGCTCCCCGTGAGGCGCTGGGACGCGCGGGCGGCAGGGCCGTAAGCCGCGGGGTGCCGTGTCTCGTCCGCAGAGGCAAGCTGGCCCTGGGCTACACCGACCGCGAACTCCGCAGGAGGGGCTCCGGCTACCAGTTCATCCACGCGGCCGACGTGATGCACTGCGCCGAGAACCACGTGCGGCGTGAGTTCGGGAGGCGCTGTCGGGGCCCAGCCCGCCCCGCGGCCGCCTCCCGCCGCCTCCCGCGGCGCCCGCGGCAGAGGGCTGGGGGGGGGGGGGGGTCCGAGGCTCGGCGCGCGCGCAGCCTCTCTCTCTGTGTCTCTGTCGGCAGTGATGAGGACGGGCGAGAGCGGCCTCACGGTGTTCCGGCTGCTCACCAAGCAGGCCGGCTGGCTGTGGGTGCAGTCCAACGCCCGCCTGCTGCTCCGCGGCGGCCAGCCCGACTGCATCGTCGCCCGACAGCGGGCCCTGACGTAAGTAGGGCCCGGGCGGGAAGCGAGGGCCCCGTCGTAAACGCGGGCCCGACGTCCGCGGGGCCGACGGCAGAGCGAACTGACAGAAATGAGGTTCTTGCGCCCCCTCCCCCGCGGTGAGGACCATGTCGTAAAAGCGAGGTCCCGACGTACGTGTGATCCTGAAACAAGACGGAAATAAAGGCTCCTAAGTGAGGCCCCAACACGAATGCGGGCCGGAAGGGCGGGCCCGAAGGGCGGGTCCCACGCAAATGAGGGCCTGAAGGGCGGGCCCGAAGGGCGGGTCCCACGCAAATGCGGGCCTGAAGGGAGGGCCCGAAGGGCGGGTCCCACGCAAATGCGGGCCGGAAGGGAGGGTCCCACGCAAATGAGGGCCTGAAGGGAGGGTCCCACGCAAATGAGGGCCCGAAGGGCGGGTCCCACGCAAATGCGGGCCGGAAGGGAGGGCCAGAAGGGAGGGTCCCAAGCAAACGAGGGCCGGAAGGGCGGGTCCCACACAAATGCGGGCCCGAAGGGAGGGTCCCACGCAAATGAGGGCTGGAAGGGCGGGCCCAAAGGAAATGCGGGCCCGAAGGGAGGGTCCCACGCAAATGCGGGCCCGAAGGGAGGGTCCCACGCAAATGCGGGCCTGAAGGGAGGGCCCAAAGGGAGGATCCCACACAAATGCGGGCCCGAAGGGAGGGTCCCAAGCAAACGAGGGCCCAAAGGGAGGGTCCCACGCAAATGTGGGCCCGAAGGGAGGGTCCCACGCAAACGAGGGCCGGAAGGGCGGGCCTGAAGGAAGGGTCCCACGCAAATGAGGGCCCGAAGGGAGGGTCCCACGCAAATGCGGGCCGGAAGGGAGGGCCAGAAGGGAGGGTCCCAAGCAAACGAGGGCCGGAAGGGCGGGTCCCACACAAATGCGGGCCCGAAGGGAGGGTCCCACGCAAATGAGGGCTGGAAGGGCGGGCCCAAAGGAAATGCGGGCCCGAAGGGAGGGTCCCACGCAAATGCGGGCCTGAAGGGAGGGTCCCACGCAAATGAGGGCCTGAAGGGAGGGCCCGAAGGGAGGGTCCCACGCAAATGCGGGCCTGAAGGGAGGGCCCAAAGGGAGGGTCCCAAGCAAACGAGGGCCCAAAGGGAGGGTCCCACGCAAATGTGGGCCCAAAGGGAGGGTCCCACGCAAACGAGGGCCGGAAGGGCGGGCCTGAAGGAAGGGTCCCACGCAAATGAGGGCCCGAAGGGAGGGTCCCACACAAATGAGGGCCTGAAGGGAGGGCCCGAAGGGAGGGTCCCACGCAAACGAGGGCCGGAAGGGCGGGCCTGAAGGAAGGGTCCCACGCAAATGAGGGCCCAAAGGGAGGGTCCCACGCAAATCAGGGCCTGAAGGGAGGGCCCGAAGGGAGGGTCCCATGCAAATGAGGGCCAGAAGGGCGGGCCTGAAGGAAGGGTCCCGCGCAAATAAGGGCCCGAAGGGAGGGTCCCACGCAAATGAGGGCCGGAAGGGCGGGTCCCACACAAATGCAGGCCCGAAGGGAAGGTTCCACACAAATGAGGGCCGGAAGGGCGGGCCCGAAGGGAGGGTCCCACACAAATGCGGGCCTGAAGGGAGGGTCCCACGCAAATAAGGGCCTGAAGGGAGGGCCCCAAGGGAGGGTCCCACGCAAATGCAGGCCGGTAGGAAGGGCCCGAAGGGAGGGTCCCACGCAAATGAGGGCCGGAAGGGAGGGTCCCACACAAAGGAGGGCCGGAAGGGAGGGTCCCACGCAAAGGAGGGCCGGAAGGGAGGGCCCAAGGAAGGGTCCGACGCTAATGTGATTGCGGATCAGTCAAGATTGTTGTCAATATATCGATGTATTTCCTTCAGGTATGTTTTGGCTCATATTTAAGTTTTATACTTGAAATTATATCCTATACATAGTTTTATATATATATATAAGTAAACGGAATCCCAGAAAAAGAACAGAGAGAGTGGGCAGTATATCTATACCTATATCTGTCTGTCTATATATTTATGTGCGGATGTGTATATATGTTTGAAGAAATAATGACCAGAAACGTCTCCAGTTTGGGAAAAATTTTAATTATAGATTCAAGAACCTCAGTGAATTCCAAGCAGGATAAATACAAAAAATAAACACACCAAGGCGTATTCTGGTCAGATTGTTGTACACCAAAGCTAAAGAGAAAACTTTAAAAGCAGTCTAAGATAAAAAGCACATTACATATAAGAAACAATTAGATTATTGTGGACTTCTCAACAGAAAAAATGGTGATCAGAAAACATTGGAACAATACCTTTGAAGTGCTTTTAAAAAATTGTCAACTCTGAATTCTGTGAACAGTGAACATAGCCCTCAAAAATAATAGCAAACGAAGACATTTTCATTAAAGAAAAAAAAAATCCAACAACTTATTGCCAGTAGATCTGTACTATAAGAAATGCTAAAAGAAATATGTCAGGGGGAAGGGAAATGATATCCACTAAGACCTTGAACCTTGAAAAAGGAGTGGGCAGGATGAGGAATGGTAAACATGTGGATAAATATAAAATATTATTTTTCCTTTTTAAAAAATACATGTGACTGCTTAAAGCCAAAAATATAGTATGGGATTTATAACATATATAGATGTAATATATATGACACCTCTAGGATAAAGGATGGGTGTTAGGAGTACATGGACCATTGCAAGATGCATATGTTTTATGTAAAGTGGCACAGTACTAATTCTAAGTAGGCATTGAAATCTTGAGGGTATATTTCATAATTTCTAAAGCAACCATTAAAAATATAATGCAAAAGATAGAACCAAAAATCCAGTATATAAATGAAAATGAATTTCTTAAAAAATTAATGTATCTAGGCAGGAAAGGGGTGAATAGAGGGGAAGAAGGGGGACAAACAAATATAATATAAAAGACCCAAATCCAGACATAGCAATAATGCCACTAAATGTTAATGGATAAAACACTCCAATTAAAACACACAGATTGTCGAAATGGATTTTTAAAAAAGCACTCAACCATATGCCTTATATATTTTTTTAGTATATATTTTTAGTATATGTGCTGTTGAAGCAAGCACAAGAGATATATTTTTAAATAGTGACACAAATAAGTTGAAAGGAATAAGACATAAAATAAAAGATATGTGGTACAAACAGTACGTACAAGAAAGCCAGAGTGGTTGTATTCATATCATACAAAGTAGACTTAAGGACAAAGGCTATGACCAGAGATCTTAAGGTGAGATACCAGCTTCTCTAAAGGTCCCTCCAGTGATGGGGTTTCCTATGCCCACAGCATCCTGGTCATCTTCTGTCAAAGACACTCCATGTTACTTCAGTTTTCCTTTGTGGAGCTAAAAACCAAATGTGAGATTCCAAGTGGAGTCAGGCCAGCAAGTGAAGGTTTTTCACCTTGCTGAGCATGGTGTTACATGGCTGTTGGGGCGGCCTATAGCAGCCATATACCATGTGTCTTTTGGAAGGGAAGAAGGGAGAGGAGGAAGGACGGGAAAATTATTTTTCCCAGTGAAAAACAGTTGCATGTATCATATTTGCATAATGATTTATTCTTTTCGACATAAAGTTTAGGGAATTTCTACATGTGTTTTTGGAATACTCATCCCACAAATAAGCAGTTTCCTCTGAGACTTCTTCAGAATTCAAGACAGAAAGTATTGGCCAAGATTTTTTACTCCAAAAAATGCAAAAGAGAAGCAAGTTCAATATTATGTCTTCTCCCTTGGATGGAAAAACCAGAACAGCTGATGTCCAGCGCGTTGCTCACTTGTTCAGTTACTTGGCCATTACTGTCCCCTGACCAGGAGACTCCCTTTCTCACTCATATACCCATTCTCAGATGTGGTCTTGTGTTTCCTTAACCACAGGAATGCAGAGGGGGAGGAGCACCTGCGCAAGAGAGCCCTGCAGCTGCCATTCATCTTCACCACAGGGGAAGCCATCCTATATGACAGCAGCCCCCTGAGCCCTGTGGATGCCCTCCCAGCCAGGAAGAGGATCAGGGCAAGGAAGGGCACCCCCACTGGTCAGGGTCCTGTGCACCCAGGCTCTCTTCTGGGAGCCATGATGCAGCAAGATGAATCCATATACTTGTCGTGCATTGCCCCAACCCCACAAGGCTCACCCTTGGAGAGGTGGAGGTCCAATGACAGTCATGAGCACAAGGAAGAGAAAGAGGAGGAGGAAGACAACTCCCTCCTGGCTCTCACTGAGACCCTGCTGGAGAAGGACACAGAAGAACAGCCTAATGTCTGCTGCACTCTCCAGCACCTGGGGGTCACTGACCTCAGCCAGTGTGTGTGGGAAGAGAGCCTTCTCAGGGCTGACTCAGGCCCTGCAGGGTCTCAGAATTGCCACCCACTACCACCCAGCCAGGGAGGGGGCTCCCACAGGGGAAAGAAAGTGCTTTTTCATGACAGTGGGAATGTGGCATTGCCCCCACCATCCAGCACAACTGCTCCACAGACCCTGAAGCCACAGCCTTCGCTGGGCTCGGGTCAGCTTACTGTGGAAGTGGCTCCACCTCAGCACATGGGCACAGTGCCCAGCTACCTTCACACACACACCCAGCATTTTCTCATCTCTGGCCCTACACTCCAGAGTTCTCCACAGTGGCAGCTTCAGCACAGCCAGGATATGCCTTTGAATTTCAGGATATGCCAGAAACCAACAATATTTGACCTCAGCCCCCTCCCTGAGGCCTCCAGCCCCAGCCAACCTGCCCAGGTGTTTCAGCCAAACCACACATCTTCACTCCCTTTAGGAGAAAATATCCCTAGACACCTGGCTCAGCCAGGTGCTGGTGTTCTGGATTTTTGCAAAGAACCCATGCCCTGGACAGCCTCACACAGTGGTCAGTGTCAAAAGCCCTTGATCACCTCAGATCCCACCTCCTGTGGCACCTATCCCTTGGAAAGCATTTGGGATTCCCCGATCCAGGGCCAGCCAGCACTAGTCCCTGTGGAGGTGGAGGCAGGGCAGGTAGCAAGGCAGGCCCAGCCTGACCCCTTCCACCACCTGTGGTCGACCATGGCCAACCTGTGCCCTCCATGGGCAGGGCCAGCCAGTGACATTCCTCCTAACTTGTGCTGGGGTTTGCCCCCATCTGTGCAGGGAGAAGCGGGTAACCCAAAGGATACAGCTGGGAGTCAAGAGCACCCACCCCACTCCCTGGTGGTGAGCAAGCTCTCGGGGAGCTCTGCCTGCCCTTCGCAGGAGCTCCTGCATATACCCTTGGCTATGCAGGACTCTTACAGCATGGACCCCTGCCCAGCTGCCAAGCAACATCAGTGGGTACAAATGGGGCTGCAGACCCAGGAAGCTTGCGGGCCAGTGAGAGAAGGGTTGCCAAGTGCCCAGCCCTTGGGTGGCTGCCCAAGAGATGCCATCCCCCAGGCCCTGGAGCCAAGCCCCTTCCTGTCCTCCAAGAACAGCTCCCTAGGCATAGGCAGCAGCCAAGGCAAGAGCCCAGCTGAAGCCACAAGGCACAGCAAGGACAAACTGGTCATTGCAGCCCCAGGGGCTGTGGGGAGACCCCAGGTGCAGTCTAGCCTGACCCTGCCTCCCTGCCCTCCTGACTCTGCCTGGCCACCTGCATCTATGCAGGGCAGCCATGACGTCCAGCTCCAGGTAAGTGTTAGCAAGGAGGACCACGGGGATTTGTGGGTAGCAGGGAGGGGCACTCTATCTCACTGGTCAAGTGCAGAGCTCCTAGCAAATCTGGATGTGAGGGGGCATCTGCCCAGCTGGCCAGTATAGGAGGGGTATCCCACCAGCCCAGCTGGTCCTAAGCACAGCATTATTGTGAAGCTGCAGTGCAGGGATACGTGGAGGGATTCTTCAAATGTAGCAGGTCACTGTCAGTGTTGGTCTACTGAGGCTAGTAATGGTGGCAGGAGCAGCTTTACCCCTGGGAATAGTGTGGTTATGACCTGGTGGGCCCTCCAGCTGCAGTCTTCTGGGCATCACTAAGCCACCTGGACACCTACTTTGTAATGTAATTTAGCCCAGCTTTGGACACCCAGAGTTGGATTGGTTGTATTTTGAATTTGACACCCTCTTCTGCTGTGCTCCCCCTGCTACCATTTCCAACACCAATAAGCAGGTTAGTGCTGAAGCATTGCTCACTGCCTGGTGCTGGCAGGGAATGAGGACACACATACAGACCCTGCAAATAATCGTAATGCACACCCTCAAATGCAGCTTCGCATAGAAGTCACACCAGCAGCGTTGTGACCCCTCCCATTTCACACAGAGGAGCAGATGTGCCTTTCCGGTGACATAGGGCTGCCCTCAGGGCGCAGCTGGAATGTGGTTTCCCTGAACCCCAGGCAGCCCGATATAGCTTCACTGGGAGCTCCCCTTCACTTCTCTGGATTTTCTGCCCCCTTCTCATGTCACACTGCCACCTCTCATTTCTGGCATCCTCGGGGTCCCTCAGCTCATACCCCCGTCCCAATTTTTTATTTTCCACCTGTTGTAAGTTAGAAAATCAGAAGACCGAATTTGTTAGACTTCTATCTGAAACCAAAGTAATTCCTAATTAAAGCCTCAAACTTACATCTTTTATAAACAAGTATGATTTTAGAGTCCTTGGGTTAACCCTTGTCTTCTGTAATTTTGTTCTAACTGCTCTAAATGTTTCCCATTTTCCCATCAGCAGTGTGACCAAAACAAAGTGCACAGCACCATAGCACTTGGGATTCCAGGCCCAAAAGGAAGCACATTTTCCTCCAAATTCTGACTTAGAAAGACCGTATCGTGCTTTTTGCCCGTCTGTGGACATGTTCTGGAGTCTTAACTACTGACATTTTCCCTGAAATTGAAGTATCTTAAATTTTTCATATTGCTGGGTGAATATTTAACTTTTTTCTGTGTGTATAAATACACACTTATCTGAAATCTTATTCTCTGGATCCCAAAGATGTGTGTGTGTGTGTGTGTTTTACTTCATTTCATTCTGTGTACTTTATACTCAAGACACATATGGAATTCTCATCTTTGTTTAAAAAGTAACTTTTGAATCACAGAAATGTTAATAGGAAAGGGACACTATGGACCTGTTCCAACATTTGCCTTCATAATGACACTTCCAAGCTCAGAGCTGAAGCCAGCATCAGACAACCTGTTTGCAATCAGGGCCATCCAGACACATGGTTCTTACAGCACGGTAACATGCTGACAGCCACACATGGGGAAGGGATATGTGCCCTTTGGCCTAGACCCCTGGAGAGGGCTTGACCTTCACCCAGTATCTTGGACACAGGAGAAGTGGGTCCTCTGTGGAGCCCATGTGCAGGAGGAATGGTGTTCTGCCCTAGAGGATGGCACGGGAACATGGCAGATGGAAGATCTAGACAGTGGTACACCTTTGAAGCACAGGGTGCATGCATCTCAGTCTCCCAACAGAGCAAAAGGAAAAAGGTTGGCGGCCACTGCTCCTTCCATAAAGGACTCAGAATGGTTGAGGGTTATAGTAGCACTTCCACTGACTTCTGTGGCTTCCACCACAGGACTCATTGTTCGGGAGCTAAATGGGCCAGATGTCATCAAGTATGACCACCATTGGACCTGCTCACCAGTGTCACCCAGAACCAGGTACATAGTAGGTGCTTAATGAATGTCCATTGTATGTATGCATGAGTGAAAGCACAGGTGAAGAAACCACAGCACAGGAACACAGGGGCCCGGGAACCAGCCCAGTCAGAACCCAACAGAAGGACCCCTCTGATGCCACCAGGTCTACCAGCAGTTACCAGAAACCGTGTGACCTGCACAGGATAAGCCACCATGTTTATTTTCCACAGCATCAGATCGGGTGATGGTTAATGTTGTTTCATGTATGGAATGTCTGCCATTTTGGACCCTTGGACCTAAAACACTGAAGCATCAACTAAGACCCTGCAGCCTGACAAATGGGAGAAAACACACACAGAAGTGTTCACCAGTACTCATAAATCCTTACACCTGCTCTCTCAAACCAAAAATTACAGCCTCTCATCATGGGGAAAGGGGAAATTCTCTAATCTCATTTAGAATCTGTACATGGCAGTATGTCTTAACAAACCATGGTCTATTTGGAGTACTTTTTATGTTTTTCTGTCCAAAGTAAACAGTTTAATCACAAAACAGTGCATGTTCTTGGACACCCTGAGGCCTGCCTTGATGTGAAGAGTTGTCCTTCCATGGTATTTTCAACTGGGTCACAAGTTTTTTAAAACTACTTAAAATGTTCCGTGTGAAATGCAGACTCATTACATGTGTAACAATCTGTACATTCCATTTCTCTGTTGTTTATTTACTACCATGGACTATAATGAAACACTGGCAGTCAATGCACAGCTCACAAGAATATGTCTGGTGTTTCATTCATATGTGGAGTAGCAAATTACCACAAAACGTAGGCTATTAAAACAACAATCATCTCTTTGCTTATTATTCTGCAATATGGTGGGCTCCACTGGATGGTTCTGCTGTGGGTCTCGCCTGCATCGTTCATGTGGCTGTGGTCATCTGGCAGCTCAGCAGGGGCTCACTCACATGTCTGGCAGCTTGCTGGGTGTCAGCCAGGCTCCTTGGTTCCCTCCCTTCCCAAGACACCAGGATTTCCTGGCTACAGCATGCTCCAAGAAGTCAAGCCCCCGTGTCCAAGTGCTTATCAAGCCTCTGCTAGGGCAGGTGATCAAGCCAAGTCACATGGCCAAGGCCAGAATCAAAATGGAGGGTAATCAGGAATGTAACACTGGGAGGGAGGCTTCATTGACACCAACAAACAGCTGTCCCCTCCCGCAACACTCTTGGGAGCAGTAATCTCCGGGTAACAGGTGAGGGGCATCCACCACATCCATGTGAACATGAGTCGTCCGGAACTTGCCCCAGAAAATGTCTTCCAGGGACCAGTGTACAAAAGTCTATTTCATGGGTGGTGGAGCTGGGCTGGTCCTTGGAGACAGCAACCCATGCAGTAGGAGGGTGGGGAGGAGAGGCTCTGTCCTATCTCCAGGCACAGGGTGATCTCCTGGAGGAACTTCAGTTGGGCTAAGGTTGGGCATGGGGACTTCCCTTCCCACTCCCTGTCACCTCTCCTTCTTCCCTTCTCTGGAGCCTGGGGTCCCTCCTCCTGCCCTAACCACCACCACACCCCCCACTGCCTCCCCCATGTCTGGGTGAGAAGTCAGGGGCAAGGAAGACACTAGGTGAGCATCTAACTGAACAGAGCCCACAAAGATAAGAAAGGCTGGTGGGCCCTCAACCCTCCCTGAGCACTTACATTTTTAAGAATTAGAAATATTATTACTTTATTGAAAAAAAAAAGAAAGAATTAAAATCAATTACAATGATGTCTCCTTGGGCCACTTTCAAACTACAACAGTCACGCCAGCCAGCTTCCCTAAGCAGTCCTGCCTTTGCAGAGACTCTCAAAGCATCTGTTTTTCTGCTTGTGCTCAGTGGCAATAAGGATGATGCGGACACAGATGCAAGCTAGGTTCTTTGGGCAGCCAGCCTTCAGGGTCGTGGCAGCAGGAGAGATGAGAATGCAGAGGAGTCAGGCCATAGCCCACTTGGGAAGCCAGGCTCATGATGTCTCAGTGTACCAACCACCCAGGTCCCAGTCTATACCCACTGGGAGGGAGGCTTCATTGACACCAACAAACAGCTGTCCAGAACTTGCCCCAGAAAATGTCTTTCAGGGACCAGTGTACAAAAGTCTATTTCATGAGTGGTGAAGCTGGGCTGGTCCTTGGAGACAGCAACCCATGTAAAAAATAACCACAAACATGTAACTCATTTTAAAAGCATGCAACACCAAATTCTTTTCAAGAAGGAGCTTAATTAGCTAATGTTGCCAAACAGCCAGCTTTGTGACTGCCCAAGGTGATGTCCAAATTCTGTACTTGTCCTTTGCCTCCACAGAATGTACTCATGTTGCCCCAAAGCCTTCAGTTTCTTGTGAATTGCACTCTTGTCCCAGAAGTTACAGGATTCCCATTAGGTAAAGCACAAACCCCTCATCAGTACCCTTGATGCAGTCAAATTGTCCCAGACTCATCAATCATTAAAAGGAACAAAATCAGCCTTCCTAATAATTTGGGGTGTACAGTATAATAAAGACTATATTTGGTTTCATCAACATCTTGGAAATAATAATTTTTAATCAAATATAACCCATACCTGCAGCAAAATATTATTACATTATTAAAAAAAGAAAGTATGTGTTACATGGCCAGTAATACCATAACCTCTTACTAATGTAATCATTATTCAGCATATTAAAACAGATAGTAAATGTGTGCACATATATGTGTGTGTTTAGTTACAGGTCTGACTCTGTGGTGAGTGCAGCCTTTCTGGTTCTCTTGTATTTGTGGCCTGGGCCAAGCAGGATGAGTTGAAGCAAATGTGTGTGTGAAAATCAGCCTGACTGATGAGCTCAGATGATTAAACAGTACTCTTCCTTTCTACTGAGTATAACTTGAAAGTAATTCGATGACTGTCCTTTTAACTTGGTGCACATGCTTCAGGACACTGTAGACAGTTCCCCAAACATTCTTTTACAACTACCATGATTCAGATTGTGCCAATGCTATGAGAGTGCTGCTGTCACTGATTCAGGGGACTGCTTCCTGAGGCCAGGGCAGATGGAGGGGAGGCCAAGTGCTTGACTGCCCAGGGCTAGGACTGGCCACGAGGAGATGGGCTAGGAAGGCTGGAGTAAAAGGGGAAAGAGAGTGGGCAGGCTTTTGAGGTCATAAACAAGCAGTCGCAGGTGGCTAGAGGGACTGGCCGTACTTGTTCACTCTTTTATGGGATGTGGCACACTGACCACCTTCTAAGGTGCCAGGCTCCAACCAGCTCGAGAAACCAAGGGAGCTTCTTCCATCAGAACTCAAAGGCATAAAACGACCAGAGGGGCCTCCACTGCTGCAGGGTTTCTATGAGTTAGCCTGGGAGGGCTGCACTAGGCTCCCCTTCAGGACCTTCATGGATTGAATATGCCCCTCATTCAGCCAAATTCATGGACACCACTCCTGGAGCTGGGTCAGAGGTCCCCCCCCAAGCACATGGGCTGA